ATGCGTGCGATTTATTCTCCGATTAAGAAGTTTCGGTAGTGCAGAAACCAGAGCTGAACCCTCGCCAGCATGAAGCGTGTGACTTCTGGAATGTGCGTGCTGGCGGCTAGTATGCATTTAACTGTTCGCGGCTGATGCTGCACGACTTCTGACCCGGCGGGTCTAGCCGCTGCCTTTGCCGAGAGATGCGCCGCGACAGAGTAAGCCAACAGCTTCTGGATTTCGGTTCAGGTTTGCTGCCAGCTGCTTAGACTCTAATACTAATATAGTCTAATTGAAGACTTCTGGTATCACATGCACGGGTTGGTCTAGCTCCAAAGACGGATCATCTGAAGCCGGAATCTCTGGCTAGTCTGCGCAGCGCGTGCTTGAACACTTGCATCCTTTATTCTTTGAGGGTTCGTGAAACCTCGATTAGAGCAAGACTTGTGCTCAGGGTTGCTCAGAGGATGTAATTAATTAAGAGTCGAAGATGCGACTCTGCTGTAATTACCGGTTACGAACAGACACGCCACCCTTCTAAGAAATGCAGGAGCAGCTGGGTGCAAACATGCGAAGCAGAGGTTTGCCCTTGCCCAGGATCTGTGTTCCATGATTTGTTTTGGACAGATGTGCTGTGCCGAAAGATATGCGTACATCTGCCGATTAGTGCAAGGCAGGAAACGCTGCATCTCCCTACACATCTAAAGTGTGGTCGAGTGCACGTCCTGGATTTCCGGGGCTTTGGAGCTCATTCCGGTCAGAAGCTCTCTCAGTAGTGAAAGGGGGGGTCGAGCCGCTTAGAAGTTGCCGCTCCCCGGCTTGAGAGTGTCTGAGTCGCCGCAGTGGTCCACGAGAGGCGCTGCAGGAAAACGATGACACGCCGAGAAGCTGACGACATCCCGAACATTCCCGAAGCCCCAACGAGCAGACATTTGTGCTTTTGGCCTTCATTGGTGCAAGCCCGAAGGTTTGAAAAAGCCTTGCCAGCAGTCTCGTTCTGAGGAAAGTCCTTGCAGCCAGTGGTTGGGCAGCACCACAGCTACTGGACTTCCTGGGACTGCGTGCCCTGGTGAATAGGGTTGCCCATTGCTTGAAGAAGGCATTTGCCCTGGCCACTCCACTTCCCAGGTTCAACGTCGTTCATGTGTCCTGTCAGTGGAAGTCTTTGCTCTCACGGTCTGTGGATCCTCCGTAGATGTTCGTTGAAACTGCTTGATGGAGGTGCCGTGCGCGACCATCCATCTGAGAACACGCTGATCCGGATTTAAGTCAGGCGTAAATTGACAGTTGAATGACTTGGATGTAAGCGGAGGTGGTTTGGAATCGTAGCAGGCTTAGACCACTGGGAGCCTACCGAGCATCTAATTACGTAATCAGCTACATACTGCTCAGTGCAGCTAGCTGGTAGAGAGAAGCTTAAAGCAGCTTTGGGCACCATGCAAAGACAGTGGTGTTTGCGGCGGGAAAGATCGTCGCTCACCCTTCGCAGAGCTTGCTGGCTGATGTCTGCCAGGAAGGAGGATGGAGCTTCATTCTCTTCTGCTGCCGATGCTCGGGATCAAGGTTTGGTCTTGAAGGCACATGTGGCCACAACACAGAGAATAAGGCCCGGTCTCAGCACTGCAAGGCTTCGACAATCGCCTTGGACAGACTTGTCAAAGTTTTGACAACTCTGCCGTGCTCAGAAGATCTAACTCCATTAGCGTGCTGTTGGCCAGTACGCGACAATTGGAGATCCTCGGCAGCATTGGCTTAGGCTGTTTTGCATGACACAGCTGAAACACGATGCTCAGGGCACCAACGGTTTTATTGCGAGGAAACCACACGACCGCAGTACGAAGAATTGCGTGCATCTGCGACCTTCAGTTTCTGAACGTGAGGTGCATGGCAGAAGTCGCAGCAGGCTGTTGCCTCCGTTGGTATGATGTGAAAGCTTTGAAAAGTCGTGCATCCAGTCCAAGTTGCAGCAGGCCAAGACTTCCAGACGCTGGAAGGATGGTGCGAGAGCCTCGGACCTTCTCGCAGCCCTGGCAGATTCCGAATCTGAAGAGCAGGCACAGCATCGCACCGTGAACGAATTGGGCAGCGCGCAAAGTCACCACCTTTTCAGAACCAAACTCCTGAGCCAAGGCGAGGAGGCTGTGCGGCGATGGAACCAAACACTCAGCGGCTCTGGCGAGGATGAGGGACAGGCACAGCGCAGGGCCCGAATGTATGAAGCTCCGCGATGCTCTCAGCTTCTTGAACGGCCGAAACGAAGTCCCCTCCTAAGATATCCCCATGGTTCCGACCCATTGAGAGTTCCGAGTCTGGCCAGGAGGCTCGTCGCTTCAAGGCTGTCTCCTACACAGTCAGGTTTCTCCTGGCCGTAATCCTTCTGCTGGGGCCTTACATCCGACGCGTCCTGCAAGCATTTGCAAGCATGGGAAATCCAGCAACGTCCTCGAGCTCTTACGACGTGAAACTTGAATCGTGCCAGCTCCAGCAAACCCAAGACCGAAAGCCCGACTTAAGATCCACAGCTTTCATCATGTATACGGCACGCTCGCAGAATCTGTGAATGAGCACGGAATGCTAGGCAGGGCTGCTGCTTCGTAAGATTCCAGTGACACCTTGCATGTGAGCGGCAACTCCAAACATCGAAGACACTCCGAAAAGAGCGCGTGTACACCCGAAGCCATAGAAAGGCGAGTCGGCAGTGTTAGGCAGAGGCTCGAGATCCCACCCCATCGTAACTATTCGAGAGTTAAAAATTGAGGGCGCACGAAAGCGCGAATGAATCGAAGTGCCGACTTGCCATTCACCCACTCTGACTACATGTGTCCAACTTGTGGTAGCTTGGATCATCTGGTGACATAGAGCAGATCCGTCGGCCGTTGTAGAGCCCTTTAATATTGAATTATGTTTCGTGTTCCCCAAGTTTGCTCTGCAAATCACCAAGACAAGTTCAAGGTCTCTCGACTATCGCTTTGGCGTGCATGCGTGATCTGATGGCAGCATGGATGGTGCAAGAAGCTCCTGTCGCAGCCATGCTTGATAATCAATGCATGACGAACAATGACAGGTGCGTTGCTGCTGCTGCGTGCGCGGGATACCGCCTACAGGACATCTACCAGGCAGATTTTGCACAGCGCGAATCCAAGCGCTGAGAGCATGGAACTGATTTTGCATTAAAAAGTTGAACAGTAGAGGATGCAATTCTCGCTGGCTCCTCAACACATTCATGACTTAGGGCGCGCGATATTGCCAGACATTGCTATGTCAGTTTTTGCTCTATTGGAGCAGGCAACGTGAAAAAGTGCATTTGGGGCGGGCCAGAAAGCCGCAAGCAAAATGTTGGAAACTGTTGAGCTTGGTCTCTGGAAAGAGGCCTTGACGGCCTTGGGAATGGCAGGCATGCCGCCTCCCAGCGGCCCCAGCGGCCCCGGTTCCAGAGGAGGAACTGGCTCCTCGATCAGGCACAGGGGGGATTTGCCTTAGAGCACGTGGAGTCCGTAACCCTGCTGGAATTCACTAGAATATACTAGACTCACTTGGCTATACTAGAGAACCAGTTGAGCAACAGTTGTGCATCATGCCGGACTCTAAAGTTGACACCTATCGAGGTGCATGCTAGATTCATGCTGGATTCATGCGGGTTTTTTTGCATCTCTTCGTCGAAAGTTGACGGGAGTCCCAGATTGGCAGGGTGTTTCTGTCAGGGCTGCTGCTTCTGGTCATCGGCCTGATCACGGTGTTTCAGCTTGCTGTCATCATCCTGGCCGGAGCCTCAGATCGGATATCAGCTCTCCACCCCGGGACGTACTTCTCTGTCTCTCGGCTCTTCTTTGCCCTGTGTGTGAGAGAGAGCAAACAACTCACAACAAAACACACCAAAACACACACACACACACCCACCCCTGGGCCATGTGGGTCTTTGTTGGGCCAAGGTCGCCAACTGTTGCGGGGGCGGAAACCGCAGCAAAGAGGCGGCGCCGCGCCTCGAAGGGTCTCTCTTAACGAGTTGGGGAAGTCTAGGGAAGTGTGGGTTGCCGCTGTTTCATTTCAGTTTCTTGCAGTTGTCTTGCACTCTTTCAAATTTTTGTTGGGGATTTGCGCGCCAGCCTTTCGGTGTTCTGTCTTGGGTTTTGCCGAAGCCCGACAGCTCCAGCTGGCAAGCTCAAGAGTTAGCTGCTCCCAATCGCATCTGGCCTGGCTGTGTTGGACTTCGCTTGTGCACAGCTTGACTTGCCAGGAAGGCCAAGGTTGGCCGTTGCAACTTACCTTCTTTTCCCGGGTGGCGACGTGCTGTGAACGGTGAGAAGAGTTGTTTAGCGGCATGCTACATGTCATAGAGGTGGCCTGACTTGCGAGGCAGCGAGCGATGCTGGCGATCAACACGTTCATGCGCAGGACCTCCCCGAGTCACTTTCTACATCCACTGTACGAAGCTCTGCTACATCTGCGACTGCTTCCTCGCCGCAAGACAATTGAACACCGCAGGCTTTGATTAGAAGTCTGTGGAGCTTGACGAGAGCAGCCGGCATGAGGACAAGCTGATCGATGTGGATGACATCCGAAATTGCTATTGAGTCATGCAGGTCAGTCGTAATTAGATGGGCCACTAAGTGTTTCTCAACAGATCTTGGGAGCATCAGTGCTTCAGTGCAAGTAGTGAGAGGGAGACCAAAGCGAGATCAGAGGCAACCCTGGATTTCTCAGATTCCAAGAGCGGGCAAGCCAATTATGATGTTCTTGTTGCGGTTGCTGTTGCTGTTGCTGTTGTTGTTGTTGTTGATGTTGTGGTTGATGTTGTTGTTGATGTTGTTGTTGTTGTTGTTGTCGTCGTTGTCGTTGTCGTTGTCGTTGTCGTTGTCGTTGTCGTTGTCGTTGTCGTTGTCGTCGTTGTTGTTGTTGTTGGTAACGGCTGTGTAGCGGATCCCAGGCTTTTCGCCTTGTCAGGCCATGAAAACCCTGGCCCTGCCGACAAACTTGGACTTGGAGGGGCCGGGGGGGCATATAATCGGCCCCTTCCGTCACCGCAGAGCATCCATGTGCCAGCCATGAAAACGTCCAGACAAACTCCGTCCGTTCCCACAGAGCATCCATATGCCAAGTATGATAACGTCCAGACAAACTCCGTCCGTTACCACAAAGCATCCATGTGGCAACCATGTTAACGTCCCCACAAACTCCGTCCGTTCCCACAGCGCATCCTAGTGCCGACCATGATAATGTCGCCACAAACACCGTCCGTTCCCACAAAGCATCCATGTGCCAACCATGGTAACGTCCAGACAAACTCCGTCCGTTCCCACAGAGCATCCATGTGCCAACCATGATAATGTCCAGACAAACTCCGTCCGTTCCCACAGAGCATCCATGTGCCAACCATGATAACGTCCAGACAAATTCCGTCCGTTCCCACAGAGCATCCATGTGCCAACCATGATAACGTCCAGACAAACTCCCATCCATGTGCCAACCATGATAACGTCCAGACCAGCTCCGTCCGTTCCCACAGAGCATCCACAGGCGGCGCAGGCGGTGCAGCCGGCGCAATCGGCGCAGTCGGCGCAATCGGCGCAGCCGG